AAGGCTTTGCTGAAGAGGCATCGGTGAGGTCCCCTTCCTAAAGTGGGGAATAGCAGTTGTCTGTGCGAGGAGGGGCTGAGGGGGCTTGCAGGGTGCTGCCGGAGGCGATCCTGACAGGAGGGGTGCGTTCATCCAGCTAAGTGACCTGGCGGTAGCAGGGTGGGATCTGACCACCCAGGTCAAGGTCCAGCCGTGACCTCAGGTGCAGTTTCTGACCCAATTCTAGAAGAACCACCAGAAAGCAGCGAGCCGTGGGGTTGGCTCTGGGGACCTGGCGCCGCGCGAACGACTTGTGGGGGGGGCGCAGATACGTTAGCACCTTGCCAGAAGTGCGTCCCAACCAAAACCTTCTTGGGACGTGTTTTCTTTAGATCTCTTACTGCTTTCCTTGCTGGATGATCGGTATTGCCATGCTTTGTGTGGCAATCACCGAACCACATGCGACTGAGTTATGACTCTTCTCTATGTCATCGCACGGCTGGGGCGGAAGATGCTCTAAAGAAAACAGTAGACAAAGGTTTTTCAACATTTAATTGACACACCTTTCCTGTTTAATGAACTATACAACTTCTGGAAGAACATGTAGCTCGTATAATGATAAACTGAATAAATTTTATGTTTTAAAATAAGCATCTTCGTAAACCGTGGTCTTCCTAAAAGAACTGTAATGAATAATGCATGAATGCAACGGCAACCAGTTAAAACCAGCCTTAAGCTGGTGTGAAGTGAAATGCTATAAAGCTTTTAATCAAAGTTTCCGATGGAGTTTTCATGAAAAGTTGAGGCTTTTGGACGATTTCCCCAAGAAACAGAGGACATGACATTTGAAGCGCCTTATTCTGCGTGACTCAGGAGGGAAGAGAATCGTTACCATGCAGCAAAGGAGCTCATCGCTCCTTTCTGCTCCATCCTTCCATCCTCTGTGTGTGGGGATACATCAGAGAAGCTGGATATGGTGCTGCAGCAGGGCTTAGGGCACTGGGTGGGGAAAAAAAACCAGTTCCCCTCTCCCTGAGACATCAGGGAGTGCACCCGTGGTGATTGCCATGGCCAGCATCACCTGGGGCCTCCACCCACACCCTCTGCCCAGGGCTGGGGCACTATTTAAGCTCAGCCCTGGGTCTTTGACTGCTTCCAGAGCTGTGCTTGGTCCTGGTCTGTTCTTCAGCTTTCCTGGCTTGAATTTGGCCCTTGGTTTCTCCTGGGCTGTCAACCGGAGCTGCTGCCGTGTGCGGGTGCTGTGGGACCGTGCCCTGCGTCGTGGCCACCTTCAGCTCCCAGTTTGCCTTCCCTTAGGGAGTAACTGGTCCTCGCTGCTCCCTGAGCCATGCAAATAGCGTGAACAACTCTTTATTTGAGACAAGACCCTCTAGTCTCCAAGCTAAGGATAAAGCAAGGTTTGTGAAAGGTAAGTGTTATAAAGATCTCCACCACCTTTTTCTGTGGCTGTCTCTTAAGAAAAGTGGCCCCTGCCCAGCTGCATGCTCCGGGGGGATTTTATTTTACTCTGTATTAGGTATTCACAATGTAGACTCTTATGTCTTAGCAAAAAAAGTTTGGATTATTGGTATAACAACACAGTGCTTAGACCGTGACTTCTATGGCCATCTAAAAGAAATCATGCCAGGAGTATTTATCTTTTATTTTGGCTAGGAAAAACCCAATGTCTGGACTAAGTCAGATGCAGCCACGTGCAAATTAACGTTAAGAGACAGATGACCCCCCTCTTCTCTGCGTGGGGACCTGGCATCCCAGTTCTTATTCTCGAGGTCTCTAACAGGCTGCAGTCAGTTGTCCCTGCTCTGGAGAGCACGAGATTCTGCAGCATCCCTTGGTGGCACCTTCTCAGCCATACAGCTGTCTTGGGGAAGAGTCGGCTGGGAGGAATTATCACTTACAACCACCCCATGAGAAGAAAATAGGGGGAAAAAAAAAAAAAAATACTTCTCCATAGCTAGTTACATTCAATCACCCTAAACTCCTTGCCAACAGGGAGAAACATCCCAGCTCTGCTGCTCCCCTAAAGCAGGTGTAAGATGGAGGGCAGGTGAAGCCATGGAGCTCGTTGGGCTGAGTTGATGTCTTGCGGCTGTAGGAAGCAAGGTGCAGGGTGGGATCCACGCGGGCGGCCGGGAGCCGTTGGGCACAGGCAGGGACGAGCCGGAGCTCTCATTCCCCAGGGATGAAAATGCCCGGGAGTTCCGCAGGAAAAGCCCCCAGCTGCTCGGGTGGAAGTCTCCTGCAGGTCTGGAGGCAAAGCCGCAGAGGATTTTCAGCACAGGCAGAGCTGCGCTGCCGCCAGGCTGTGACGTTCTGGTCGCTCAGCGATTTAGCATCTTCCTGATGCTGGACCACAGCACTTACTGCCCTCCTCCCCTGGCAGCTCTGCGGTCTCTGCTTCTCCCTTCCCAAGGCACATCCCCCTGGAAGCAAATGAGATTTTTTTTTTTTTTTTTTTTGCTTGTAGTTAGCCCAAAGTGAGGTGGTGGGGGTTTTTTTTTGGATATACCTCCCCAAAAGCCTCCAGTTCTCCTTGAACTTGCCTCTGGAGGAATCGCTGCTTGAATCAGTGCAACTTCTTAAGAAGCTAAGGGGGAAATTCCTTATGAGCTTATTTTTACCACCTCCTATTACATCATTTTACAGGAAAAAACCCAAGCGATGACAAGGAAATGTTTATCAGAGGCCCGTAATGACGGGCTGTTTGGTAACATTGAGTCTCTGCAGACTTTAAAACATGCTTAAAATTTGCTGTACCTGCTTCTGTAAATCTCTGGGGTTCCTCACTCCTCCCGACAGCCGACACGGGACTATTTAAAAAGGGAAGCAGCAGGAGTTTTATCAACTGCTTGGGGTCAGTTTGGTCAGCAGGCAACTCACAAAAACGTTATTTGCTGGCGCTTTTCTAAAGGGCATCCTTGGCCTCCTTGTTCCTCGAGCTGCAGATCGGGGGGTTGAGCATAGGGACGATCAGGGTATAAAACTTTCTCCATCCCCAGTGGGTACCTGGACCCGGCTGCACGCGGCTCAGCCCCGCGGGCACGTAGGACAAGTAACGGTCAGGAGGTGGGAGGCACAGGCGGAGAAGGCTTCGTGCCTGCCTTGGCAGACCTAACCCTCAGGCTGGAGAAGAGGATGTGTACATAGGAGATGATGATGATGATGATGAAGAGCACAGACGTGGAAATGGTCCCATTGAAGGCTACAAGGAAAAGCTCACTGAGGTGGTCATCAGAGCAGGGGAGAGTCAGCAGAGGGTTAGTGTCACAGAAGCAACGGTTGGTGACATTGGGTCCACAAAAAGGCAACGGCAGCAAGCAACGCGTTCGGGTTAGTGAGTTCAAAATCCCCCCGAGGTACGGCCCGGCCGCCGGCTGGCTGCAGACCCTCTTGGACATAGAAACGGTGTAGAGAGCGGGTCCCAAATGGCGACGTAGCGGTCGTACGCCACCACAGCCAGCGAGAGCACCTCTGCGGTCACAAACACAAGGGAACAGAAATGCTGGGCGCAGCAGGCGGGTAAGAAATGGTTTTCTTTTCCACCAAGGCGGCAGTAAGCAGCTTTGGAGAAAAGATGGAGGAGTAGCAAAGGTCAACAAGAGACAGATTGCGGAGGAAGAAGTACCTGGGAGTGTGCGGCCGGCAGTTTGTCTCGATCAATGTGATCAGCCCGAGATTGCCAATCAGGGTGAGGAGATAAATCGTTACGAAGATTATGAAGAGAGGAGTCTGCAGCTTAGGCTCACTGGTCAGTCCTAGGAGGATGAACGGGGTCACCGTGGTGTGGCTGCCTTCAGCCAGGTTGCTGTACTTCGCAGCAGCATGCCTGTCGGGAGGAGGAAAAACAGCCGGAGTGAAATAAGAAAGAGCAACGGCACGGCTTGATGTGGTGCTGCTATCAGCCAGTACTTTATTACACTATTTATTAGAAGTACAAAGATTTGATGCTTGAGATGACATCTAACCGTGCTTAGGTTCTCAGCAAATCCTCACAGGCAGAGCAACTCATCCAAAACCTTTCAGAAACTGCATTTTGTCCTTACTCTCTTTAATCATGAGGCTGAATTAAAAAATTAGTTTTTTCCGTTTTTAGAAAAAAAAAAAAACACCCGGTATTGAATGATGTGAAAACTGGAGAAGGTGTGAAGAATTTGCAAACTTGTCATCTCATTTCATTAGGATAGGAGGCAGAAAAGGGGAACGTGTTTCGTCTTCCCCATGAGAAGACTAAACACACGTGAGTCGTCATGACCCTGGGAGCCCCGAATCCCCGTGCCCCCTCCGGCAGCTTTGGATCCCCCGCTGCCCACCCAACCCCTGGCGAGCTGCCGGGGGCAGAAGCTCCCGTGCTGGAGCCTGCTCTTGCTGGGCTGCCACGCTTCTGTCCGTAACCTTGGTCAGGTTCCAGCACAGAGGGAAAGGTTCCCCCCAGCGTTGCAAACCGTAATGGAACAGGGTTTTAGTACACTTAATTCTTTTTATCTGCTCCAGCTCAATTACTATTTACATGTTTTTCTCCCCTCAAGGCAGGGAAGGAAGGCGTTTTCAGGCTGCTCTTCACAATTGTGAGACTAAGAAATGAAGTGTACATAATGTGTTCTCTGTGTAATAGAAAGCTGTGAGCTGTATTCACAGGAATTCAGGAGGTGAGGAGGGAAAAAAAATCATCACTTATCGGAAGGCTCCATATAGCAGAAAGAAAACTGGTGCCTTCATTTGCAAACCACGCAGCACCTTGCACACAGTATTTTTTTCTCATCAAGCCCCTCCAGTCCCAGTTACTCGTCCTAGCAGAGCACAGCAGATGTTAGGAATCCTTCATACGCCTGAAAGACTTGCTTCTGGAGTAAATAGCGGTACTGGTGATAAACGGCGGTGGAAGTATTTCTTTAGAACAGAAAATGTAAGGGGGGGAAAAAAAAACCTGGTAGTGAAAATAACATGGACTACCAGGCAGCAGGTGATGGTGCGGCACCTGAAAAAAAAATGTGAGCGACACGAAGCAAACCCATGTGCCACCACATCGGCAAAATCTCTTCCACGTGGATCATCCCTGCAATTCCCCTCCTTCAGCAAGGAGAGAGGATAAACTGTTTTCTCTGCAAGATCGAGACCAAATGCTCAGCTGCCTCCTGCTTTTCAAGGACACTTGCAATACCTTGTGTAAGGGTGTGACCGGGAGCTGCCGGCGTCGGGCAGCTGCTGCTCCTCTTGCAGCCGCCCTGCAGCGGGGAAGGGTGCCGGGCAGCTTTGCCCACGCACCGGGTGTCGGCGAACGTCTGGCTTCATCGTCATTCTTGGTTTTAGTGGTTCCCATCAGGGTGGCTATCTCACTTGAGATGTATCACTGCGCTCTGCTTTCCCGGGACAAAACCAGATTCTTATTTCTATCTCTGTGACAGAAGGAGTTTTCACTTTACAAATATTTGAGGTTCCAGCACACCAGAAATAGCTGGTAGGATATTTCCAGGTTTTGGCTGCAGCTGCTTTTCCCTCCCACCAAATGAACATTTTCTGAGAACACTTGAACGTCCTTACATACAAAACTCCACGTCAGGTCCACCCAACCCTACCGCTGGGACCAAGCCCTCGCCTTCTGCAAATGAGGAATAATAGCGCAGCAGGGGCAGCAGCAGAAGGTTGCTCTGGGCTCTGCGGCTTGTTTTTACTCTTCCTAGAGAAAAATCAAGAAGGTTTCCTCCTGGGCTGAGCCCTGCGCAACGCTCCCAGGCTACAGGCCTGGGTGTAGCTCCATAGCGCAGTCCTGCTCTTGTCCCTCAGCTCTCTTCCCTGTTCAGTTCATTTACGTTCAGGGCAGAAGAGCAGCTTTTCCAGTGTTTTCTTAGAGGTTTTATCACAGTAAGATGGTGACACATACTTAGAAAGCCTGAAGATAACACCTAGAAATTCAGACATATGGAAAATACACAGTTCAGGTATATTCTGCTAGTGAGCTTTTGCGCTGAATCGGTAAACTTGCAAGCTTGGATGTGGTGGGGTTTAACCTTACCCTCCATTTGAAGCCTGTGCCTACAACCCTGCTTTCCTGCGTTACACCACATTCTTACCCAGCAGCCGGCTGCATCTTTCTGTGATTCGCACACAACACGCCTGCCTCGTCCTACGGCAGAAAGAAGAAACGCCATCTCTTTTCCTCCATTCTTCAGACGACCCTGACGCTACAGGGGGAGGGAAACGGCGGTTCGCAGATGTGACGCTCAGAAGTGAGACCCAGTACGTGGCAGCTCCGTCGGCAAGAAGCAACGGCGCGTGGCCCCGGCCTTTCGACCAGAGCCGGGGACGCTGCTGTCCCGAAGGGCTTGTGCAGCTCCTGGGTTTGTTGACTTCTTTACCCTCATCGATAAAATCCCTGAAGTAAATCTTAGCTGAGCAAAGAGCTTCTCGCCAGCCACGGAGGGGATCATTGGAAACTCTCGGAAGAGTCTGGAAGAAGTTTGGATTTGGATCCTGTCCCCCCCAGCCGTGCAAAAAGGGCTCACTAACCTTTCCTTGCTCAGTGCTGATGTGGAGGGGGGGAGATTTTCATCTTTGCAGAGCCACAGGTGGGAAAGAAACCGTACGAGTGTGGCAAATAAAGTTTAATCAGACGCCAGGGTTTGGAGTTTATTCTCCTGTTTGGACTGCGCACGTTTAGAGCGTCACTTGAACGATACAGTTTAAGGTAGTTGAAAGCGTGAGTGCTGTAAGCAAAGCCAAATGTGCACGTAAATCGCCTTCTCTCCCTGCATGTGTAACAGGTTTTACGGCTCGGACTTAGAAAAACCTGATTTCTCAAGCTGATCACTTCTGCGCCTGGAGATCACCACCGCAGCTGCACCCTACTCCAAATACACCAAGGAAAGCCACGCAGGCGGAGGAGAGGCACTTCCAGCCCACAGGTACGAAGCGTAACGCGGGCTCCAGCCTAACGGCACAAGCCAAGTGTACAAACCCCAAACCGTATTGTAATCACGCTTATGATTTTACTTGAGGTTCATTAGAGAAATTATATTCAATTAAAGGTTGCTTTGTTTATCCCTTGACAAAACGGCAAATTTTAACGTTGTTCCTTTAAGTAAATTAAAGGTAAGTGAAAAGGCAGTTAAACTTTCTTAGAAATGTTTCATCATTCCTTGAACTATTCTCAGCATCGTAATACATGATACGTAATAACGTGATGAACTAAATCCTATTCAGGTCAGCAAGTGGGAAGGATGAAGGACGCTGCAACCAGTTATGGAGACCGGGGTCAGGCTGAGGACAGTAAGTCTGCAGTTTTTTTCCTGCTGCTGACTTAGTTTACTTCCTTGCTATAAGCATTTTCCTGACTCTTACTTCCACATGTTATTTTTTTATCATCCTTCATTCCCTCACCACAAAACCATTTCACTGTACCTTTCCACGTGGCCACAATGAAGGTATTTGCAGATAAAATAGGAATATTTAGTTAAGAATTCCCTGTTAAGACAAATTATGAATTGAAACATTTAAGAGAATACACACTGAGAAAGCACAATTTGTCTTTACTGCATTTTGAAATTAAGTAACGTAAGTAATGAAATCTGAGTGGATAAACATCTGAACCACTGTGACTCCCGGGTGCGTATCAGTCAAGGATAACAGAGAGCTTGGCAACATCATAGGAAAACATATTTCAATTTTCACTGATAGCTTTTTACACATAATAAACACTTTTCAAAAGATAAGTACCTTCATCATTTGAAACTCGCATAGTAGATAGTCTACTGTGTATCATAATAGTGTACAGCCTACTATATATCCTACTATATATATTTATTGTACCGTTCCAGTAGTACAGCCGCCTATGTATTACAATAGTGTAGGATAACTTACCCTGGTGACCAATTAATCATGCTTGAAGGTGACGGGGGTGGAGAGTACGTGGGAGGGGGGAGGCAGGAGAGGGAGAGGAAGGAGCGAGGGCGTGGGATGTGGTGGACACGGGAACATCCCAGAGGAGCCAGGCTTTCACACTAACCTGCCCAGCAAGGCTGTACCTTAAAGCCTCCTGGGAAAACAGCCTGGGCTCCACTTCTCCATTAGACAAGACAAACCCGTGACAGGACGTTTAGAAGTTGCTTAAACTGTCTGAGCAGGTTTTTCCAGCCGAAGGAAAAAGGATTGTGGCTCAGAGCGGCAGGAGGTCACAAGGATTCAGGGTTGAAAACACAAATACTGACGGATAGAAGCCTTGTTAAATACATCGATATACAGAACAGGTGATAAAACATCACTGCTCATGTTGATTTTAAAATCTGATTTTCCCTGCAGCATTTTCCTGGCTTTCTGGGTGCAGATTTTGCAGGTAACGTGATGGGGTAAGCGACAGCCGCATCGACGCTTGTGGAGAGCAGAGATGTCGCTCTCAAAGCACAGCGGCTACAGCTGCCTTCGTCTGAAGCACCCAGGCGTCCTCTTGCCACAAGATCTCCAGCTTAGGGCTTGGAATTAAGGTTAAGCCGAGACCCTGTGAAAACCACCACATCAGAGAAGCAGACTTGCAAGTTTTGGGTGCTCTGCTCCGGGTGCCCCCTCCCACACGCACGGCAAGATTGAGAAGCTCCCTGCCTCCACGCACAGCACCTGCTGCTATTCTTTGCACTACATTTAAGAAAATTTCTGAGGTGGTTTAAAAAACCAGGGTTATTTTAGCAATGTTAATGGAATTCCCCTGTGAAACAAGCCCAGCTTCTTATTTTATACCTTGGCAGAGAGCCGACCCACAGATCTTTGACATCTACAAAGCATCCAAAAGCCACTGCTAACACCAGGATTAAAACTCAAATTTTCTGTATTCAGGCCTGCGCTTGATTTGTTGGCTGTTGTCACGAATAGGTTTCCCTCTAAAACTGGGATTTTTCTTCACCTGTGCAGCCTACAGCAACAAGGTTTAAGCCACCTCTCCAGAGAATGAGAAACACTGTATTTGTGTATAAATTTTATTCTGAAAACAAAACCCAGCACATTGCTTTGACAAGACTATGCAAAATACAGAGTAAAATAAAATAAGAAAAAAAGAGGCACTACCTTTTTTCCTTCTTAGTCCGGGACCTGTCTCTGTGTGTAAAACACGGAAGGATGCCTCGCAAAATCAGGGAGTGAACAGGCTTCCATTCTAGGTTTATTGACATTTTTCTTTTTAAACATAAAACAGAATCTAGCAGCAAAATTCAGGCTTGGAGAGCTGCAGTCTCAGCTCAGCTCATCCTCGGTTTATGCACTAAGAGCGGGCCAGAACTTTGCTGGAATTGGGATTACAACTTTTTTAAAAAACAAAGAAAAGTGACTACAATAAGGGAAGGAAGAACCTATACCAATCCCCATTAAAGGGAGAAGTTTACCTCATTATTTCAAGTTTACTTCTCAACTCCAGCTTGCCTTCCATTCACATCTCCCCCAGTTTCTCCTTCAGCCTCTGTTGCTTGAACCTACCTCTTCTTGGGTGGATTGTGTCAGGCAGAAATCTGTATCGTTTGTACCCAGTTTGCTCTCTAGCTGTTCAACTTTTTATTTCTTAAAATCACAGAGGGCGTTTGTGACCAGCGCCTCCCTCTAACTCCACAGCCTGGCTATCACCGCTGGTCCCTGTGGCCACCTCATCCAAAGTCTCAAACCGATGAACGCTGCCGCTGAACTGCTGAACGCAACTCGTGGTTCCTCACCCCCCCAGCCCCCCGCGCTGCGGTTGTTTCAGCTCTCTTCTCTCCTAGCCTCAAACGTAACCACTGCTGCACGGGAAGACGCTTATCTGATTCACTAACCTAGCCTTGTCGGGAAGCGCTTTAGCAGCACCCTTCCTAGCACTAACACGCAGGACAGAAAGACGACCGTTTGTTATTAGCCTAAAATTCCTGGTTGAGCGTAAAAACCAATCACAGGGGTTTGCAGTCGGCCAGTCTGGCTATTTTCCCTTTTTGGTCTTTGCGGCTGCGGCGTTGTTGGTCTTGGCTTTCTTCTTTGCTGACCCCTTGGTCTCCGGCTCTTTGCGCTTGGCTGATGTGATGGAGCCCGTCACCTTGAAGAAGTCGTCCAGCCGGCCCTGCGTGCTGCCCTGCCGGCTTTTGCTCAGCCGCTTGACCCCGTTGCGGATCCGCTCTTCGTTGAACTGCTTCTCCCCGCACATGAACTGGACGAGCTGCTCTTCGTTCGGCTCGGTCCACTTCAGCTCAACAGCGTCGGGGTTGATCACATCAGGCTCTAGAAAGAGCTTCTGGGCCTCTCTGTGCAACCAGTTCTCGGGCAGGGGGTACTTCTTGGTGTCTATCTGCTGAACG